GTTAGGAATCTAGTTTTGCTTTCAATAACCATCGAACCTTAGGACTGTATGCTTAGAATTTTATGATTCGGTTCCTTTCCAAGTTGAAATTAATAATTAAAATCTGTATTTTCTTCTGTTGAGTTCAATCATAGAATTTAAAATTGTATATTTGGATAACATTTTCCTCTCAGTTTTAGTCCCACATGAAGCTTTCAAGATTAGTGTTTTGTTCTGATTGGTGGTGGGTGGACCACGCACGTCAATATCACGTAGTGGTGATGTTACATTGAGGGATTTTTTTTATTAATCATGAAATATTCACCAATAATTTTGGTAACATTATCATAAAATAAAATTTTCATTGGCCCCCCATTGATTAATTAGCTTTTCGTTATGGCACAATGTTAATGTTAGGAGGGTCCCATGTTTCTGATTACCATCATGAACATATATCTTAAGCTAAATAGTCCTACCATATCCTCTATGTATGCAAAGGTCTAGTGTAACATTTGATTTATAGTAATTTCACCCCATGCTACTTTTATTCTATCAATAGCTCAGCATAAAAATACGTATCAGCCCCTTTGTGTAAGTACTAAGTAGCACCAACCCTTCAATGGAAAGGGCAATAAAGTGATCATAAATTGCACCAACCCTTAAATTCAATAGCATTTGCAACGCTAGCCTTTGAAACCTTGATGTACTGATTATGATTTATATCTGTAATTATGCAGGTCTTGGCTAGCAAATCCAAAATTTATATGGTACTTGAGTACGTGAATGGAGGAGAGTTATTTGATAAAATTGTAAGGAGCATTTGCTTAAGTTACTCATATATATATGTACATGATCTATTGGCAATTACAATCAATGAACTGTTTTTCTTCACAGTCATCCAAAGGTAAACTTTCAGAAGCTGATGGCAGGAAGTTGTTCCAACAGTTGATTGATGGTGTGAGCTACTGCCACAATAAAGGTGTCTTCCACAGGGATCTCAAGGTTATACCAATTGAAACTATGTTCCATGGTTACAAATTTTTTGGGTCATATAAGGCTTGCATTTTTTACACAAAAATGATATCTTGTTGCAGCTAGAGAATGTACTACTGGATACCAAAGGGAACATAAAAATAACCGATTTTAACCTTAGTGCTTTGCCTCAGCATATTAAGGTGAGGTATTCTTTGAATCACACCTCAAGGCAAATTATGTCATTTTCTGTAATTGACTCGTATATGAAAATTTCAGGCAGATGGGTTGCTACATACAACATGTGGAAGTCCCAACTATATTGCACCTGAAATTCTTGCTAATAGAGGCTATGATGGTGCAAAATCAGATGTATGGTCATGTGGTGTTCTCTTGTATGTAATTCTAACAGGATACCTTCCTTTTGATGACAGAAACCTTGCAGTTCTCTATCAAAAGGTATTTGTTGTTGTGTTGCTTCTATGTTCTGTATATATTGTTAAGTTTAGTAGTTTTATGAAGTGAATATCAATTGATTTGTTTTGCCCCGATTGATCACAGATATTGAAAGGAGATTGTCAGATACCAAAATGGCTATCACCTGGTGCTCAGAACATTATAAAGAGGATTCTTGATCCCAATCCTAAAACCAGGATATCAATGGCTATGATCAAAGAAAATGAATGGTTCAAGGAGGGTTATACTCCTGCAAATCCAGATGATGAGGAAGAGGATGCATATATTGATGATGAAGCCTTTTCCATCCAGGAAGTGGTATACTTGGTGCCACTTTTATTTTTATTTTTTTCTTCCTTTTTTCCCCTTCTTTCTTTGCTTGAAAACCCTGAACATTTATCTTGGTAACAGCCACTTGAATCACAAGGAGGGAGTCCTGGATCACCAACACTTATCAACGCATTTCAGTTGATAGGGATGTCTTCATGCTTAGACCTCTCGGGCTTTTTTGAGAAAGAGGTGAGGATCAGAGAATAGAAAAATTATTAGCACTTGGCAAGACATATATTTAATTATATGCTTTGAGCATAATTTCCTGTGTTTTAAGATATTTACCATTTATTCCTATGGAACGTTCACTCAATTAAAGGCACAATGTACTTTTTCCAGGATGTCTCTGAGAGGAAGATAAGATTTACATCAAACCATTCACCAAAAGATTTGATTGAGAGGATTGAGGACATTGTAACAGAAATGGGATTTAGAGTCCAGAAGAAAAATGGAAAGGTCAGTACTATTGATTATGTTTGTTAAAGGCTTCATGTATTTACAACACACATGCAAATAATTGTAAGTTTTAGTTTGGCCAAAAAATTACCACAATGTCAAATTTCAGTTGAAAGTGATACAGGAGAACAAAGCACAGAAAAGTCTAGGTAGCCTCTCAGTGGCAGCAGAGGTAATGCATGTTGAGACTGAGCTAATTATATACAATCTACATGTGTATAGTTTTCTGACATTATGAAACTATCTTCACTTCAAATGTGTCAGGTTTTTGAAATAAGCCCATCCTTGCGTGTAGTAGAATTAAGGAAGTCTTACGGAGATGCTTCTGTATATAGACAGGTATATATACCATTTCTATCTCTCTCTGTGCTCCCTTTTCAGAGAATCTGAGGCTGATATGTACATATTTTTTCTTATGATGTAGTTATGCAAGAAGTTATCAAATGATTTGGGTGATCACCAAACGCAGCAGTTAGTGAACTCAGAAGATATAGGCCTGTTAGAAAAGAATTTAGAAGCCAGTTAACGTATATTTTGCATTTTTTTTTTTTTGTATATACGTATAGTTTGCATTTTTGTTCAGATGGGAATGGGATAGTTATGTAGGTGTGTTAAATATCAATTGTACATACCATTTTAGTTAACGAGTTAGTGATGTGCATATATTATGTCTATTAGATACAAAGAGCATCATTTTTCAGAGAGTAAAGTTGCAGCAGCACATAGTGAATCAAATTAATTTGGCATTCAGATAATGAAGGTTGCAAAAAGAAAAACCATTAACGAATGACTCAAGCATTTAAAATAGTAGCAGGAAAAGTAGAAAGCACGTGGTAATTGAGGCATTATTCTCTAAAGTACTGAGTATTTCATTGAAACAAGCTCATATATGTTGCATTTGGTTTATTCTAAGTGACAATTAACTTCCCTTTTTTCTAAAACAAGCTCATATAATGATTTGTCTGAAAATTTGCTTTTACATGTATGGTATAGGTTGCATTTGGTTTATTCTGAACAGCCATTTCAACACTCTCTTACATGTATTTCGTAAATGGGACACTATTTGGATGCAAGCAAATTTGCTAATATAGGGATTTAGAACAACCCACACCATTCCTAATATGACCAAGACTAGTAGGCATAAAGCTTAATCTTCTCTAACATATCTGCCTTACTTAAATTGTTCAATACGCCATTGCAAGTTGAATATAGGATATGTAAAAAATCCTGCTAACTAAAACTATTAATAAAGGATTATTAACAAAGCCCAGCACAGTTAGTAGATAGCTGAGTTCCTTAAGTATATTGACAGGGGTTCTATCCCTGGCCGTGTGTATAAAAAAAATTTGTTGGGAGAGATTTATCCACTTAATATGATCTCCCATCTCAAAAAGATTAGTCTTCGACTGTCGTCGGAATAATATTTTGGGAAACCAAAAAAAAAAAAAAAAAAAACTATAAAGGATTGGAATCACAAAAGAATTTAATTGTTTGTTACCATTGGATAAGTAATAACTGAGGTCACATTCTGTTTTGAGTACCACAAAGTCCAAAAATTTTCTCTACCAAGCATGAATTTGCAAAGAAATATAAGCTATCATGGATTCACATTAATTAGCAGGAAAATGTCACCAACTTTCGCTTGAAGCCATCAAAAGGTATTAGAGAAGAATTACATTTCTTACCATAACAAGTATCACCAATTTTAATGCATACCATCGGCAATAATCAAGCGCACACATAGTTTGCTCAAAGGGGTGACCTGAGAACACAAAGTAAATTAGATAAATACAGATAGATCAGAGATACCAATATTTCCAATCCACCCTGTGTTCTCAGATTCACTCCTCTGAGAAGAACCACCTGCTATACGGACTGAACTGAAAGGAACATTTTAATGAGTAATACAACACATTAACTTTCTGGTTCATTATGTTTCTTTTTGTATGACATAAAACCTCATGTCATGTCACGGATTCACTATGTTGTCATTCGTAATACAAGAGCACATAGTTTTCCGAGCTTAGGATTTTCTTTATTTTGTTATATTGAATATCTATGAATGATATTATACCTCATATCGTGTGTCACCCACCCACTATGTTGTCATTCTATCGACAGCGTCAGAGAGATGTTATCATCTTTCATACATCATTGAAAACAAGTACATGCTTATTTGTAAATTATCACTTTATATTATTCTATTAAGGTAATCAGTTTAGGGCTCGTTTGTGAACGTGAACGTGAACATGAACAGATAAGGATAGAATATGATATGGGGCTGATAAGAATAGGATATGATATGGAGCTGATAAACCTATATCATGTCCTGTGTTTGATGAGCACTTGATTGATTAGCAATATGATAAGATTATGTAGAAGGAGAAAAGAGAAATAAAAAATAAAATATAATACAATAAATACAAATATATTGAGTAGCGTGGGTAGCGTGAGGATATATTGAGTATCCAATATTAATATTCTATCCTGTTGAATCCTAACCTAGCTCCCCCCATAGGATAAGAAATCATGTATTGGATAGAATAAATTGAGACAATAGGATAAGCTAATCATATCATATTGACCTACCAAACAAGAGATAAAAGTAAGATATGATAAGTTATCATATCTTATATTCTTTATCAGGTGCTCCAAACAGCCCTTAAAGTTTCACACGTGAGATAAAATTATTTTCATCGGCGGGATATATTGATAATTTTTTTTTTTTTACAAATTTACAAATTACATAATGTTTTATCTGTAAGATTTCACTAAAAGGTGTTTTATCTGTAAGATATAGTGTAGTTTGTAAGAATTTGTAAATATAGTCTTTCCTTTTTATCATATACATAAAAATGTTTGTGACACATGTGAAATTATGTGAGGATAAAAGAAAGAAAAAAATTAAGCTCATACATTTTTATGTGGATATATGAAATAATTTTTATTTTTTGGACAAATGACAAATATTCTTCATGAATTCGAGCGGAAACATTCATATAATGGAACTAGCTTTCCAAAGGGGAATTTTTATATTTAATTATAAGAACTTGAACAAACCACTTAAATCAAGTTACGAAATAATTTTATGTTGTATGATATTATAACTGAAACCCGTAATTACATTTCCATAGAAAGAAAAAAATAAACAAGATGTATGCAGCTATTAAAAAGGGACCAAAGGAAAATAGCAATTGGAAATGACTCAGTGAGTGAAAAAAAAATTTCCTCGAGTGTTAAGAGTTAAGACCCGCTGAGTCAACTCACCAGAATCTCTGACCTCATGAAATGTAGACCAACTCGTAACATTCTCATCGATAGGTAAAAACTAAATAAACTATTACTAACTGATATATTATAAATGAGAGAGATATTATTTATAATATATTTTCTCTTATAATCTTTTTTTACAATTATTTTTACGGTTGTTCGTTGAAAATTCAATCAAAAGTTGTTAATTTAATTTTGATTCAGTAATTATAAAAATGATCATAAAAAAATAGATTATAAATATAATATTTTTCATTATAAATTAATAAAATATGTAAGACTAACTACATTAACTAGTTATTCATGCAATAGTATTACATAAAATATTACACATAGGCATTGCAATTTAAAAAAGAAAAAAATAAATTAAGAAAAAAAGTAAAATCGGTATAACACGGCCGGGTCGAGTTGAGAGTCTCACCCAGCGACCCACTCGCGACTCACGATTCCGAAGCGATTCCTCATCGCCTGCGACCACCGCCAACGGTCGAACGATTCCGACTCCGGCGAGAAGCGACCGCCCGTATCCATTTCGCCACCGGTATCCTTCAAGAACCGGTTCGTCCACTTCGATCTTGATCGTTTTCCTTCAAGGTTTCTTTCCTTTTTTATCTTCTGTCTACGATCAAGCTCTTTTATCTTTATCTTTTTTCTTAGGGTTTCATGATATCGGCAATTCATTTGATATCAGCACACAATTCTACAACATAAAAAAAAAAAAAATAGAAAAAGAAAATGGAAATTGTGATTTTGAGGTTTATGCAAAACCTTAAAAGTGACTGTTAACTCATTTGCGGTTCAAGTTTTCACTATATTTCCTGAGATTCATTGTTATAGTTAGAAATTATTCAAAGTTTTCAAATTAGCTATGTGATTATGTTTTGGTTTAGTTAGATACCCTTCAGATGGAGTTTCTGATCGAGTTTGAACCCTGAAGGTATCAATATAAGAATGCAGTAACAGAAATAGAATGGAATAAGGGACTCTTGAATCTTGATGTCAAATTCTGTTATACTCACCCTTGAGTGGTGGATAGCGTCATTGGCTTTTGAGTATTGTGGTCTCTTAGGCGAGTGTTGAGTGACTAGTTAGTAAATTAATAAAAGAGATATAAGGCGAAGGTGAGTATGCCTCTTTGTGCCTTTTGTGATAAACATAGCGATAAATTCTTTTAGGTTTATCCTTCAACTGTGTAAATTAAGCTAATAAAAATTTCAGACATCATTGTTGCTCATTAAATAAGTTAAAAATATTGACACAAGTTGTGAAGGAACAGGAATTAAGAAGTGAAGTAGATGCTATGTTAATGCGCAATCTTATTTATGGTTTTTTTTTTTTACATTTTTAATTTTTAATTTTTCTTGCCATATTGCTTTAAAGATCTGAGATCTGGGCAGCTGACACTATTTCCCTTACTTCATAATTGCTGGAACAGGGAAGGCTCTCAGATTAATTGATATGTCCTAGTTTTTGGATTTTTATGGGCCTTATATTCAGCACTCATGCATATGTTAGTGGAATTATAATAGCTCTGTTTTGGATGTAATGGCTCCAATACGCCCAACTGGATTGGTTGATCCTGGTTGGGATCATGGCATTGCTCAAGATGAGCGGAAAAAGAAGGTTAGATGCAATTACTGTGGTAAAGTAGTTAGTGGTGGAATATACAGATTAAAGCAGCATTTAGCCCGAGTTTCTGGTGAAGTAACATACTGCGAAAAGGCTCCTGAGGAAGTCTACCTAAAGATGAAGGAAAATCTGGAAGGGTGCCGTTCCAATAAGAAACAAAAGCAAGTTGATGCACAAGCATATATGAATTTTCACTCTAATGATGATGAAGACGATGAAGAGCAAGTTGGGTGTAGAAGCAAAGGGAAGCAATTGATGGATGATAGAATTGTATCTGTAAATTTGACTCCTCTTCGGTCCTTAGGATATGTTGACCCAGGGTGGGAACATGGTGTTGCTCAGGATGAGAGAAAGAAGAAAGTCAAATGCAATTACTGTGAGAAAGTTGTTAGTGGAGGTATTAATCGATTTAAACAACATTTGGCTAGAATTCCTGGAGAGGTAGCACCTTGTAAAAATGCTCCAGATGAAGTTTATCTTAGAATAAAAGAGAATATGAAATGGCATCGTACTGGAAGGAGACATAGGCGACCCGAGGCTAAGGAATTGATGCCTTTCTATGCAAAGTCAGATAATGAAGATGACGAGTATGAGCAAGTGGAAGATGCTTTGCATCATATGAACAAGGAAACTTTGATTGATGATAATAAAAGGTTCTCTAAAGATTTAAGGAAGACCTTCAAGGGAATGTCACCAAGTACTGGTCCTGAACCAGTATTGAGAAGATCAAGATTGGATAACATTTACCTGAAACTGCCCAAGAATCAGACTCCTCAAACTTACAAACAAGTAAAAGTTAAGACAGGGCCACCTAAGAAATTACGTAAGGAAGTTATTTCTACAATTTGCAAGTTCTTTTACCATGCAGGAATTCCTTTACAGGCTGCAGACTCCCTATATTTTCATAAAATGCTGGAAGTGGTTGGTCAATATGGACAAGGACTGTTATGTCCACCGAGCCAGCTTATTTCTGGTCGCTTTTTGCAGGAGGAAATCAATTCCATTAAGAATTACCTTGTTGAATATAAGGCTTCCTGGGCAATCAATGGTTGTTCTATAATGGCAGATAGTTGGAGAGATACACAGGGTAGGACAATTATTAACTTCCTTGTTTCTTGTCGTCATGGTGTATACTTCGTTTCTTCAGTTGATGCTACTAATGTGGTAGAAGATGTACCAAATTTATTTAAGCTTCTAGACAAAGTAGTGGAAGAAATAGGTGAGGAAAATGTAGTGCAGGTAAAATGTTCTTTCTATATTCTTGTGGCGTCCTCCTTCTCCCTAAATATCTCCTTGTAGCTATTATTAATCGACATTCTCCTCATTCCCCCTTTTGATGTAGGTAATCACTGAAAATACTCCTAACTATAAAGCTGCTGGAAAAATGCTTGAAGAGAAGAGAAGGAATTTATTCTGGAGCCCTTGTGCCTCTTATTGTATTAATCGAATGCTTGAAGATTTTATGAAGATAAGATGTGTAGAAGAGTGCATGGAAAAGGGCCAGAAAATCACAAAACTAATATATAATCAAATATGGTTGTTAAATCTTTTGAAAAGTGAATTTACCCAGGGCCAGGAGCTTCTAAAGCCAGCTGGCACCAGATATGCCTCTAGCTTTGCTACATTGCAGAGCTTGCTGGATCATCGAGCTAGTCTCAGACGAATGTTTATTTCAAACAAATGGATGTCATCCAGGTTCTCCAGCTCAAGCGAGGCAAAGGAGGTGGAAAAAATTGTTTTGAATGTCACATTTTGGAAGAAAATGCAGTATGTTAGGAAGTCAATAGATCCAATTATGCAAGTACTTCAAAAGGTTTGTAGTGGTGAGAGCTTGTCAATGCCGTACATATACAACGATATGTACAGAGCAAAACTTGCAATTAAATCTGTTCATGGTGATGACGTGCGTAAATATGAACCATTCTGGAAAGTGATAGACTGTCACTGGAACTCTCTGTTCTGTCACCCACTTTACTTGGCTGCTTACTTCTTGAATCCGTCATACCGATATCGTCAGGATTTTGTGGCGGTATGTGAGAATATTGAATATTTCCTATTGTTGCAAATTTTCAAACTTTATTCAAGTTCTCTCCTGAAGTGAATGTTTCGTATGACTATAGCATTCTGAGGTAGTACGGGGGCTCAATGAATGCATTGTTCGGCTGGAGCCAGACAATATGAGACGGATATCTGCATCAATGCAGGTAAGATGTCCATAATGACTGCTATATGATACTGACATTGTTAGATATTTATTTATCTGCTTCAAGTGACGTTATTTCCAGATTGCTCATTATAATTCTGCGCAAGATGACTTTGGAACTGAATTGGCAATTAGCACAAGAACAGGTCTTGAACCAGGTAAACTGCTTATATTTTCTGCTGGAAACTGCATATAGTGATTAACATGCTTGGAAGCTCATTGCTACTTCTGTATGAGTTGATCGTTTCCTTTCCTTTTTTTCCCTCACTAGTTGATTGGTGGCAACAACATGGAATAAGTTGCTTAGAGTTGCAAAGAATAGCCATACGCATATTAAGTCAGACATGCTCGTCCTTTGTGTGTGATCATGATTGGAGTATATATGATCAGATATACAGCAAAAGACAAAACCGTCTATCTCAGAAGAAACTGAATGACATTATCTATGTTCACTACAACTTGCGACTTAGAGAATGTCAATTAAGAAAAAGGTCCAGGGACTCAAAGTTGACCTCTGCTGACAGTGTTCTCCAAGAGCATTTACTCAGTGATTGGATAGTTGATGTCAATGTACAAAGCTTTGATGGTGATAAGGTACTCACTACTCAGTGATTTCTGTTCTTTTGAACTTGTATGAGTGGTGATAAAGCATTAATTGCTGTAAATTGGACTTTTTATTAGTCATAGTTGAGTTGGCTATCTTAAGTTATTTAATGGTTTAATGCACTATATGTTGTCTCTTATCCAACTTATTGAACTTCAATTGTTCTTGACTCTTCATGAATCAATTATCCCAAAAGCTTAAGTTTTAATATCAAGACACATGAACGGTTTTATATTTTGAATTATAAGTTGAAACCGTTGATACTATAAACATGTGACTTTCAGTTTCATGTTAGATACAGCATTGTTACAGGCAAAACAATTCTGGAAACGTTGTGTTTGAGGTACTTCACCACCATGCGTGAGTGAATTATGCTCTTTAGCAATGGAACACCGAGGATGTGGCTATACTGATGGATATTTGTTTTGCTTTTGTTTTTATAGGAACTGGATGATGAATATGAAAATGATTCAATTGATTATGAAGATGGAGCTGCAAGGACTCTAAAGGGATCCCTTGAGCTGGTGACTATGGCTGATGTAGCAGTAGGATCATCCGATTTAGATCATGCTAACATTGATGCTGCCACTGACGATGAGTCTGATCTGAATTATTTTGATGATGATTTGAGTGAGTAATTAAGTTACATGGTTCTCCTTTAGGAGGAGTAAGTATTTGGTCGCTGGTTGTGAGCCTGTATACTTCCCTGAGAAAAATCAAGATGGTCATTCTGATATGTACAATCATATATTTATTTCATCTATTGGAGCGTAATCATTTTAGATCGAATGTGTTTTTACCAGCTTAAGAATTTATTGTCTATTCTATAAGTCACTCAGTAAGAGCTGGCAAATAGCCAAATTTAAGGAGTAAGGAGTAAGGAGTAAGGAGGGGAGTTCCTAATTATTAATAAGTTCTTGCTCTGTAAGAAGCTGTTGACTATAAAGTTTACCATACTCTCTAAATGTCAAGAGTTGTTGTATATCCTAGTAGTCTGTGATTGTTAGTCAAGGCTTACTATTGCTGCCTAATCATTATAGATTAGCACAAGGTGTGCATAACAGATGCTAAATTGATAATTTAATTATAGAGATTAGTATTTCTTATATTATAGGAGATAATTTGATCTTCTACCTACATATAAAAATATATGGAATTTATGTTCTTTTTTCTTCTCTTTTCTTCACATGGATCTCACATGAATCTCACACATCTTTATGTATATATAGGAAATAATCTTATATCTTATGACATGAGAAACATTAATTCCTTAATTATATTGCGCTTACCATGTTTGTGTAAAATTTAGATAAAATACGTACTTCATCCGAAATAAAACTTCATACTTAATGATAGTTCATAAAGAAATTCTGACTTTTTTATAATTTGGGAAAGTAATTATGATTTTAATTTTTAAACATTTTACTTTTAACGAACATAAGGCTGAATAGCATAATTTAGTTATTATTGTGATTTTAAAGAATAATATGCAGAGACACGCATGCGCACAGACATAGATCTTCAAATGATTTTGTTAAAAAAAACATAATGAATCATATTGGGTAAAATAGTAATCATCACATATTTATTTATCCATGGTTACCAGCACAACTGGCATTATCGACATAGTTAGTCTTGATGTAGTTTAGCAAGAAAAGAAACATTCAAAGGTGTGTTGCTCTTTTCTTTTCTTTTCTTTTCTTTTAAGAACGAATAAAATCTCTGCCAGCAACCCCGTGACTTGACATCACAGTCCCAGATTCATTGTCAATATTTTTTTTTTATTAATTACTAAAAACCAATTCGTAGATAAATTAAGTCAAAAAAGAAAAAGAAGTCTTATATACTAATAAATAATTCTGCTTATCACGCTGGAACAGTGACCATGTTTTGCCTAAATAGCCGCGTTTATAACCTGCCTCCACATGCATCAAGTCTTTAAGATAAAAGCGCAGTAACAAAATCATTTTCTTAAAATCATTTTCTTATGTTGTACGAGAAAAATTATCTCATATTGGAAAAACAATATCACAAACGGGGATCCACAAACAAGAGGAGATAGAAAAAACAAAGGTAGGACCCAACTTTATTTTATATGTGTAGAAACTTGGCTTTTCTCACGTAAAATGATAGAAATATAATCATTTCATTTTAAACAAAAAAAAAGGTGGGGAGGGGGAACAAATTCCCAAAGTTGGATTATTGCAGAAGTCTATATGTATGACAATATTTACAAGAAATCTGTCAATTCATTAGAATGTAAAAAAAAAAATGAAAGCAAATAGTCCTTTTTAACACTAATTATGGTGTTTTTCCTGTCACAACATTACTTCAACTGAAATGGGAACAACCAACTTTCATGGCAGAGGTTCTTGTGAATCTCCCAAACGAGATAAATGGAGATATGCATCAGTCCCTGTGAATAAACAATTTTTTACTGCATCAGAAAACTTGATTGTTGAACATCAAGCAAGCAAAAGTAAAAAGTAGACAGAAAGAGTCCAGAAAACAAGGTAACGACAAATCAGTACTTTAAAATGTAATATAATATCTATAAGATATACAAAGTAAGCTACTTCTGAGATGGTAGCTTAAGCTCTTGAAGTGCTAACTCATGCGAGAGAATTAGTAAGCACTTTCAATAAAAGCAGTAATTATTCATGTACAAGTTTAAAAGTATCTCAGGGACAAAAAAAGTTAACTATGAAAATAAGGTTGACACTGTTCTATCATATCAAGCTGCAATTAGATTCCATATCTCAAAACTCCTCTTATATGCTAAATGGAAAAGAGATACAAAATGTTGATAACTCTTTTAAGTGCTAAAGTAGTAGCATAGTAGAAGGAAATCTATACGAAAAATTGTAAATGAAACTCACCATATCCTTCCATTGAGATTATTTGAAGATCACCTCCAAAATACCGAGCATATAGACGACTAATAGGAAGACCATATCCATAACCAGCCATTGTCACATTCTCACCTATTCCAAGATCCGAATGCTCATCCAATGGGTCTCTGGCTGTACTGTATAGGTATGTAAAAATTTTTGGCAGACCACTTCTTGGTATTCCACCTCCCTCATCTGAAACCTACAATGCCATTTAGATCATCTGCTTTAACAGAACATCTTGATAATAGCATGTAAAAATCCCAGAATAAAAGTAACTAACAACTGCACCATAAAAGTTAACTAAGTACCTTTATGGTAACATCCTCTATTCCATCAGCAACTATTATTCTAACCGGAGGTGCAACTTTGTCAGAATTCATAAAACGCTCTTGGACAGCACGCAGTGAGTTCTTAACCAACTCAAATACCATAAGATGCAAGTGAGCTGGAACATATCTGTTGTGAAAACACATAGTAATTATATAGAAAGAGAACAGAAACATAAAGTTATGGAAATGAATGACAGCAAAACAAAAGCAAATGAATTGGTGGTAGTAAGAAGTGTGTAACTTACGGAAAAGTAAAATCAGGATCTCCGTAAATATGGACATCAGGTGCACTGCCATATTCACGACAACAAATAGAACGTGCGTCCTCAGTGGCATTCCTCGCCACCTCCAGAGGAGACATTTTTGTATGTATATAACCCACGCAATGGGGAGCAGGATTGGGATTGTGCAACTCAACATGCTGCCCTGAATCCCAGCAAATTGAAAAACACATATAATAAGGTTAGGGTTTAGACCTTCACTACAAATATTTAAATAGAAAAAATAGTAGCAAATAAACTGCTTAGTCTTGTATAAGGTAGGAAGAGTGTTTTTTGAACTAACCGATAAGCATGCGGATTCCGATTCTTGACAAGTAAAAGCGATCAAGGAACTGATGAATCTCAACAAGATCTTCATACACAATCTTTGGATCCATACCTTTCTTCAATTGCTGAACACCCAAGGCCATTGTAGGGACCACGTGGTTGTGTCTCAATTTGATGGCCTTAATTGTTTCAGTGAACTCTTTTTCATCATTCATATTCTTGATGTCAGGGAAGGATCTAACATCACGGAAAGACTCCAAAAACCAATTCCTAACCTAAAATCATAAAAATGTACCACAAAAGTTCAATAAACATGAACTCAGCCCCAAGGCGTTATGATATCTGCCACTATCAAGAATCATTGAATTTAATATCTGGCAATGTTTCCATTTCTTCAGAAGATAAAATCGGAGGACTGTTGTTGTAAAAGAAATAAAGTATGTGCAGAAGAATAAGAATTAATGCTTCCTTAATATAGTGAATAAACCATACACCCTTTGCAGCAAACTTGGGAGAGAAAATTTTCAATATCAAATATTAAAGCATAATCAAGACCCAATCATCCAAAAAGCTTGAACCTTCCATTTATTATGTTCTTGAAAAGATATTTGAACATCTATGAACAAGTAATTAGAAGTTTGATTCTTCAAAATAAATCAAAATTTCAGCAAATGATAACAAAAAATTAAAATGGGAACAAAAAGACATCACAAAAAGATAACAATATCCTCAAGAGTAAAAAGGGAGGAAAAAAAAAATTAAAGGCAGCATAGATGGGAACAAAAAGACAACACAATTCAATAGTGCAATGTAACAAGAGTACCTTCAAAACAGCAGGTTTTTGAGACAAACCATAGGGAAGATTCTCAAGCTCAATAGCTCTTCTGGCAATCCTAATAGCAAGCTCCTTGTGAAGGAACTGAGCAGAAATCAGCAAATTCTTGGGATTGGGTTTGGACCCAAATTCCATCATGTACCTCAAGCTCACCCCTGTCTGCTTCAAGCAACCCCATTTATTCACTTCCTCAATCAAGGTTTTGGAGAATGATTCACATGCCTTCTTGGCAGCCATGGCTCAGTCCTGGTTCTGGAACCAAGAACCAAGAAATCTGAGAGTGAATTGGGACACCAACCAGCATGCAATTGCAAGCCAAACACACAATGCAAAAGTGACATAGATAGCAATAAAATCACCCAAAGCTTGAAAAAAAAAACCTACAATTGAGGAGAGAGAAAAGTGACACCCCTTTTGTAGAGATAACAAAGTGAATAGAATATAATGCTGATGATGGGTCCTCACAGTGAAAGAAAACTAGGGTTTGAATTTTACCAGAGATTAGAGGTGAAAAATTGAAACTTTTTCTCTGGGAAGTTGCAAATTTGAAGAAGGTTCTTGCTGTCGTTGTAATTCTTGAAAGAGTGGATGAGGATTGTGAGCTGGCAAATATAAATATAATTGGAGGATGTGCTTGTCACACGTGTTAAGATAAAACCCTTGTTTCCTGAAATTCCAATGTGAAAAAAATAAAATAAAAAATAAATAAATAAAAAGTGGTTTGCTTCTTCATCTATTAACATCATTCTTCAATTTATTTTGCCATTAAAAATCAATCATTCATGGATGAGTTTCTTATAATGAGACTTTATATTTAAGACATGTAATTACATTCTTTTATGAATCACATTTAATTAAGTAAAATATAAAATTGATATTTACACAAAATAAATGGTGTTCTTTAATATTTTATAAGAATTATATTAAATATAAAAATATTGTTTTTATAAAATTTCAAAGTTGATAAAGAGGATTCAAAAACGATAATAAGAATTTAAACCTAATTGCTAATGACACTGAGAGTCACGTAAAAAAAAAATATTAATCCTACGCTGGAAGAGTATAATTAATCAAAATTAAAAAATTAAAAATATAATGAAATATCTCTCAATTTATTTAAAGAAAAAACAAACTATTACCAAGCATGCACTAAGACATTAATGAGACATCAAAATCAAACACTGAAATATAATGATATAATGACAGTATAAAAACTTGAATGTAACAATAAATTAAATCAGAGAAATTAAAATGTTTTAAATTAAATTTTTTCGAATATTTACATTCTCCTTTTTCCACGTGTAGCAATGTTTATTTCAAAGAAAAGACAGAGAGAATATTTATTTTCATTCTTTATTGAATCTTGTATAAGAAATATTCTCTTCTTATTTTCATTTTGTTCTTCTATAATTATCAAAGTGACATGATATTATGCATATATTTTTTCATTCTTATTTTATGAAAATTTTTTTATACTCCCCTAACATCGAATTGGGTGCATCTTCTTTCCATATAAAGAAACTTTTATCCCATTTCAATTCAAATATTTTTTGTTATTTCTCTTTGAGTCCTTTTTTTTTTCTTTTTAGAGAGAGATATTGATACATCCGATGCACAGAAAAAGCTCTTCTATTTTATCTACCCATCTATAACATCATTAAATTAGAATAATTTAACGGTATTGAAAATGAATATATAGAGTAAGCAAGAAAAAAAATATGCGTAAGATCTTATTTCATTTTCAAAATCTACATAAACATACCAACTTATAAAGTTTTCGGTTTTTAATTGATGTCCTATTTTCTCATCTTCAGAAGTGAAAGAAGCTCATGCATGTGATGATCCTAACTAACCCACTTCTGTTATAATATAACTACGTAACTTCCGTTTCTACAGTTATCAGTTTTTTTTTTTGGATTACATCCGGGTATTCCACAGTTTAGCTTATTTTTTGGATTACAGTTTAGCTTATTTTCTCCTCCTGTAAATATAGTATAATATCACTCAGATTCATTTTTTCAAGTCAATATGCCAAATCTCAGAATCTAAGATTATATCAGAGATGTATTAATTTTTCATTAGAATTCATATTTAAGTTTCTATATACAGATTACACGTGACGCGTACTATGGTAAACAACTGATATTGTAAAAATGCACCTAAAAAACCAATACGATACATGGATATACAAGAAAATGTAAGTAAAAAAAATTTATCATCATTAAATACATAAATAGTAAAAAGTATATTTAATCTAGAATTTTATCTTTACACAATACCACACTATTACAATATTGTTTTCATTACCTTTTCAAATATATATGAGGCCCACTTGATAATTATCACAATTCAAATGTTGGGAACATTAAATTCAAAGCTTAAAAACTTTCCATGAGGAAAAAGTACCAATACTTTTTTTTTAACCAATACACATCCTTTGAGATAATTGAAAGGTTATGATTAGAGTTTGGCTTACTGGTGCAAGAGAAGCTATGCAGTGAGGCTTGTGATTTGTGGTCCTGAATGCACTCTCAATCCACTTCAATTGTGCGTGCTTTTCCACACTGCAGATCAACCACTTATCTATTTGAGGTGGAAATAAGACGGTGTGCTTTGGTGCAGCCCCAAGTTTCCACACTTGGGGTCTTACAATCTTATCCTGCAGGGGGAGTACACAAACGTGAAGTTAATGCCCTTTTATGTGAGATAGATAGAGTGAACCTAAAAGAGACATGTAGGCCCATAATCTAATTATTTTCTATAAAACCATACACTTTCCCACTCTGGTTGTCTATATTATAATTAGGATTTATTATTCTTATCTTACATAAGAAAGAATTTATCTTCTACACACGCAAATTCAAGATAAGTCATACTTTACTTTTACTCTCTCTCTCCGTGAAAGTGGACTCAACCTGCATAAATAAGTCTGTAGAAGATAATTATTATCTCCTACTGTATAAGAAAACTATTACCCAGTATAATTCTCAGTTACAACTAGAATGAACATAACAAAAATGAGTATTAAAACTTTATAAAAAAAAGAAAAAAAGGAAATTAAAGGTGAGACTCACTTGTAACTAAATGTCTTCTCTAGAGGAGTTGAAGGAAAGTTGATACCATATTTAACATCAATATAAATATGGTATCAGAATCTCCTTTTCCTCCTTAGGAAAATCAAACTGCAGGAGACCAAAGTCTTTTAGAAAGTGCCTCAAACATGAACCGGAAGAAAGGCATGGAAAATGGGTCTCCCCTAATCTCAATTGGAAAAGTAGACAATGTGATTCATTTGTTCATCTTTAAAATCAACTTGAGTTTCATAAGCCGGCCAATTTATGTGCCTTCACGGGCTGATTGGTATTATGTCACTGTCTTCATATATATCAGAATATATGATACAGCTTATTTTGTTGTGATGCAAGAGTGACTAAACAAACATGCGTTATTGGCTGATCCATGAGGCTTGTTTTGTTTCATAGCAACAGAAGGCCGTGGGTTCATTACGAGCCAAATGTAGCTAAGACAATGATATAAGAATGGGTTGTTTACTTAACTATTGTATCTATATGCATTATTTTAAGGGGAAAAGTGTTCCCCTGAGTAGCTGAAGTTATTCCCTATAATTCAAACTAACGTTTCGAAGTTTGAGAATTTTATTTCTCTTTTTTAATATGATTTTTTTGAAAACACCCTAGTTTTTTTTTATCTCAAATCTTAAAATAAGTTATTTTAAGATTTGCAGGACATAAGTTTATCTATTTAATAGGAGAAACATCAAATCTTATTTTAAATATAATTAAGGTTATCTATTCGGATTGATTCTTAATTATTTTTAGTTAAAAAAATTTAAACAGAATTCACGATCTTAGTTTGGGAGATTTAACATTATTGTCTAGCAGTTTGGAACAACTTGGAGTGAGGTCGATCATTTAGTCTTTTATCGCCACTCATACTCTAGATCCATTAATTTGGTGGTGTATGTTGATGCATTACGGGCATGATTGTCAAACTCGTGCGTAAACTCGTGCGAGTACGCTTTTGAATCCCCTCAACGATCCTGATTCACTGTGAACTCGTTTTTCGCACTAACACGATAGAAATGTCGCGTTTTCGGCAAACTCGTAAACTCGTACGAGTTCAGCGATTCCACCAAAAACAGAGTGACCCGTGGACCCAAAATCTTGACTCGAAATCCATCGCATAAATGGGTTTTTTAATACAAAAAAAACCCTAAATACCTGGTTTTAGCCGCCACTGTTCCTGCTCAGTGAGAGACGACGACTCTTGCTACACCATCGGCGTCTTGGCTGCGCTCCACCGCTTTCTCGGACTCTGGTCATCCCTCCCTGTGTGTGTTGGATACCTTCTCCACATGCTCCGCCCGTAGCTTCGCTGTCATTGGTATTATGTCTCAATCTCTTCTACGCTGCCTCTGTTTCGTTTCGTTTCTGCCTCTGTTTACCTTCGTCAATATTTTACTTTTTTTCTCATTTTACTTGAATATTGGTAAGATTGATAAACCAAATTAGTTTTATTTGATAAACCAAATTAATTTTATCAAAATAATTTTATCAATATTCAAAGTGCTTTTACAATTTATTTTACATTACAATTTTATGTTTATGATTTTTATCCTCATTTTGATTTTACATAAAATCTTATTTTTAACTAGTTTGGTTGCTTTGCATGATGTGCTGATTAGATAGCCTTGCTAAGCTCTCTTTTTTGTTTCGATAAATCTGTTCACTCTCAAGCTCTTTTACAAAGGCTTTAGTTAGGAATTGTGGTTTAGGAAGTCATAGAAGCCAGTGTTGGAATAAAGTAATTCAAAATAGTTTGTTATACTGTTACTATATATTTGAAATTATATAGATAGAATTTTCATTTAGAAAAAACTGTATAGGATAAATTCATAAGTTTGTTTCCTTTATTATTGCTAGTTGTTACATATCTACATATATAGGTTGTGTATAAATACACCTCTGTTTATGAGGAAAATTAATGAGAATGAGAAGATCATATTAGTACTTTGTTTTTGACATGGTATCAACAGCTGTGTTCTGATCCTTCTAAATTTGCAGCCCCACATCGTTTATTTTTTTTATCCCACCCTCCCAAACCCCATTTTCTCTTTAATTCTTCTTCCACATGTACGTCCCAGACTTTTTTGACCATCCACGTGTTTCTTCTTTTTCCCATATCTCTCCAAATTACTCCCTTTCTGATCTCTCATGGAAAGCCCCAATCCTAACTCTGATGCGACCGCAACACCACCCCACACAACCACCCCAACACCATCTGCCCCCACTTCGATCATCATCAATCAAGATGCCTCTTCCTTTCCCGTCACCATTACTCTTGATGAAACCAACTTCCCTTTATGGTCCTAACTAATGGACCTTCGTATCGGTGCTCGAAACAAAGGGGGTACCTCACCGGTGACACCGCGAAGCCTCCCTTCGATGACCCTGCCTATGGTGGCTGGGTTTCTG